GTGGGAGAGACCTGAACTGATTAGGTTTCGCGAGTCCCGAACGCCGGCTTTCGGTGCTTCCTCCTACTATAAAATACAATTTTATTTAAGAACAGAGTTTTATATTATATAATATTCGACGAATAATTCGATCCAGTTTGATAGAAGAAGACGTGACCAAGAGAACATTCGTCTAAATTTTCATAGTCTCAAGAGAAACCCCATAGCGTTATCTCTTAACCCCCTCAAATTGACACCAAACAAAGTTGGCGAATAGAATTCGTTGAAAGGAATATCTCGTTACTTTCCTCAATGCTTCTAAGGTTTTCTTTCGCAGATTTCAGACCCCATGTCTATTGTTAATGGACCAAAGGACAAATAACAGTCACTTGCATACGACGGTTTACTTCTACGTATAGTGTGTTCGATTCGCTACTCTCTATCGCTTGGCGAATCAATAGCAACTTTTAAATGTATTCAGTATGGCATTACAAAATCATGATATCAAATGAAAACTTTTAATTCTAAGCACCAACGTAAAGGCCATAAATAAAAAACTGTATATATATAACGGTATTTGTATCTCTTACTCTGCCTATCGTAGCTCAAAGTAATTGCGAAACTATGGCCACTACATAATCTTACATACAATTCATTTTTGTTGTGGATTCCTCGCAAAGATTCCGCAAAATGTTGCAAAAGTTTTGTTGAACACACACTCATCTTCACAGACAACGGCGAGTAGCAGAGCAACAAAGACAACAACTAAAACAAGCAAATGCAAGTACAACTAATAGGAAGAGCAAGCAGCCAAATACAAATGAAAACACAAATAGAAACAACAAACAAAAAACAATAACAAGCAACAACAAAAACAAGAACAACGACAGCGACAACAATAACCGCCATCTTTGTCACCGCTGCTAGTTCTCGAGTTTAATTTCATTTTAAGTCTCCTTTTATTGTATTTTTCTTCCGCTCTTTGTTGTTGATTACGTTCACGATTTCAGCTGCCGCGCATTGTGGCGCTACCACTCAGCGTTGTGCTCGGTGGCTTGCTGTACACTTGCTTTTTTTATTCGCCATTTTATTGCTACTTTAGTAGTTAGCGAGTGTTGATTAAAATAAAGCGACAAAAGATAAATTATTAAAGTCTATAATATTTATGTACATAACTGAAGAGAGCGCGCTTTGTTTGTTGTTGTGGATCAGCTGGCTTACTGAGATTACAATTGCTTACATGAGCTGCCAATAAAAAGGACAGGTGAAAATTAAATTGCCTACTTTTATTTTGTTTGAGAAACTGTAATCAATTTTCGTGTGTTATGATTCCCCTGAAAGCATTTTGAGAGAAGAAGACATATAAAAGAGGAAGTTCACTTAGGACAGAACGTTCCCGTACTTGGGTGTATTCGGGCAGGGACGGTCTATTCCGCCGGATTCATCAAAAATTCTTAGACAAAAGTCAGATCAAACCTCAGTTTAGTTAGGATACTTAGATTACTACTTTTGTACATATAAGAACCATAAATTATATACTGGTATAACATTTCAGTATTTTGTATTGCTACTGAAGCAAGTACTGTTACAGCAGATCACTTTTGGATTTTGTTATGAAAGATAGCAGTGTGGCTGCAAGCTTTTGATCCGTAAAATCAATTAAAGTAAGTATTTTCGGGCACCCTAATCCACATTCACATGAATATGTCTTAGCAAAAATTATGGGGGGGTGGGTTGATTTATTCCACGCACTACCTAAGTTTATGGCGTTAAGTGCTGTGGACTGCACAGAACCCAAATTGATGGACTACTAAATTCAGATGATAAGCAAAGTTCGCGAGTAACAAGTGTTTTCACTACTGGGTATAAGAGAGTGTTCCGATGATAAGACTCCCAAAGTTCTGGAGCTTCCCAGGTTTTAGTATGGGGACCGCATTACCGGTTGCTACACACTTGGCTCCCTTGCCGACAGGTTCTACTTCGGACTGAGTAGGTTGAGAGTAAAGTCCTCTCTTGACGAACAAAGACCCAATCCTAAAAGTCACTCATCATCTCCGTCTTGTTTTACGACGACGAGGCATGGACGATGTCAACATCGTATGATTTGACGTTGCGAGCTTTCGAGAGAACGGTAAGTCGACATTGGCATAGTTCAGCGAATTAAAAGACTGGCTAGGTCATGTCATCCGAGTGGATGAAAACAATTTAGTTTAAAAAATAAGAACCCCTTGCACCATATTGGAGATCTTAATGTGTTTTTGGCAGTTTACCACACACTTCTGAAGGTGGTTACAGTCACCGCAACACTTTTACCATTGGTTAGTCTCCCTAAATTAACACCGCTGTGAATATGTAGTAACATGATTAATTCTGTAGTATTCAAAGAGTCTCGATTGGATATTTGGCCCTTATGTGAAGGCTTCTTCCAATTGTTGAAATACTTCTCAAACCAGATTCTTGGGATAGCTCTTAGCTCTCTCAACGATTTTCTTCCATATTTTCCTTTTAACGTTAAAACAATCATTGATTAATACCTCGGCGAAGATAACATTCAACAGACCCAGAAATCTTATGGATAGAGTATTAAAACCAGATCAGAGAAGACAATATCCTTTTTATGAATATTTTTGGAACCATTTTCGTTACAAGGTCATCTTAATTTAGCGAAATATTTTTCATCAATTGTTAACATACTTCCATACCACTTAACGGAAAGGACAGAAATCAACGAACCCATCTTAATTAGGGTATATAAAGATATACATACTATATGTAGTTACACACGATAACCATTTTGGAAATCAAGTGATATTTCATTAATTTCATATTTCTGACAACTTGATCGAAACAGGCGTTCGCAGGAATATATAATTTTTTTGACATCCCAAACCGTTTTTGTTTTATTAAAAAAAAAACTTTTGTAGCGCTCTTATTGAAAAATCTGCTAATTTGAGGCCCGGACTATGAATTTCGGTAGTAAAATTGAATAATTTTGACTCGTTTTTGGATCGTATATCTTTTCATGATGAAGGGAAAATCTTACGGAAGAGAAGTGTCAAAAGAGCTGTGAAAAATATGACGTCGTTTGCTGTCAAATCGGTCTACTTTTATAGCGTCCTATTGAAAACCCCTATATATGGTATTAAGTTAATTACGGAAATCTTCACATACGTAGAGGAAATTTTCAAATACACAGAAATGAGGAAGGTCCAACACCGATTCTATCATATGTAATACGTTTTTCCAAACAATGCATATAGTTTCCCCTAATAAACAGGAAAGCTAGTAGCAATCGGAATGTATGTCACCATGAAGAGAAATCGAGGATTTTATTTTGCCTGTTTTGTACACTTTTCTGAGAAAATTATATAAATGTTAGCAAAACGTTTACATTGGAAACGGTGATGTAGTTTCTTATATTGGGGTAGAGGGTAATAGACTCTCTAGTTCATATAATTCCCTAAGTCCATGTAATAGCCGAATATTAACTACCATTACCTTAGGTGTCACTGAAGCCAGAAAATTCAGTGAAGGCTATTTTTATTAAAATTTTCCAATGAATGAATGTAACCATGTTTCGTACGCATGAATTCTGATTTCAGAATTCTAGCATTCTGATTTAATATAATAGAATTGTTGTTATTCAAAGGCGATTTTTGTCTATTTCTTCAAAATAAAAAAACTGTGTCAATCCAAATCCTAAATTCATGAATAAATTGTTTGACAGCTGTGAAATTTGTGCATATATATGCATATCTATAAATTTTTAGATGTAACTGAAAACATATGGATGTGGTTCTCAACGAAATAGTGCTTTCGACTCGAATTGAAAAATGAAAAATAATCAACAAAAGAATGTAAAATGTTTGAGAAAGTACTTGCGCTGAAAATAAAAAAGTACCACTTCAATTAAATGCTCATGACAGCCACATATATTATGATAAAAGAATATATAAATTACCAAAGAAACAAAAGTTTTTCATTAAAAGCCAAAGGAGCAGCGTAGCATATCGAAAATACTTATTTCTTTCAAACATGTTGCCGTTATAATGAAAGCAAGAACATCGCTTGACACATAATACATTTCCCGCATACCGTTTGCTCATTAATCTGAAGTGACACAGTTATTTTTAATCCAAATGAAAATGCAAAATTATTTACATATCCCTGAGTAAGCTAACTTGTCAAGTGTCAAATAAACTTGTCCATTGCCGCAGAGCACAGCAAAAAAGCGAAAAAGTATAGAATTCACCACAAAGTGAAGGAAGAGAGAGCTTGCAAGATTTCGCCCGCTTTTCCTTGACATTCTGGTTTATTTGCCACCACTTGTTCCGGACCATTTCGATTTCAATTTCGCAGCAACGTCCACCCACAGTTTTCATTTCTGGTTGCTGTTGTTCGCTGCTTTAATGCGCTCACTAATAACGGTAAAAATATTTATACAATTCTAAAACGAGTCTGTGTAGAAGATTTGCATGTCACCGATGGGAAATGGTCAAATGAGTTCTGAAAGTCGCGCGACGGGGCGTATGAGCAACATGCAAAAGTTTCACTTGGAGATCACAACAGCCGGGCCGGGCCTGGCTTTTATCTCTACCGACGCATGGACTTTTACATTTTCATAGCAACAGCTGCGAACCCATACTGTTGTTTTTGTGTGGACGGCTTGAGATTAGGCAACCAACATGCAGCGGTGGCCAAAGTGGAATGGGAAGCAGACAGCTGTTTTCCTGCAATATTTTTGTTTTCTGTTTGAAGAAAGCATTTGCGAAGCTACTTTATTGTATATGCTTTGGGGGCGTTATTAATTTCCGTAGCATGTCACCAACTTCCATTTAAGTCGTGTTTTCGGTTGGCCTCATGCACTTTTACACTTTCCACATTTACATACACAGCTGTTTGCATTGTCTACACCAAGAAGTGGAGCCGTCTAACTTTTCACACTGAAATTTTTCACTCTGTATGCTGCATACGTGCACTTAAATACGCAATATTTTTATTATGGGAAATGCACAGCTTACTCTTCGTTTCTTTGTTTTTATTTTTCCATTAAATTGACCTCTGAAAATCAATGAATTTCTGTGATTCAACACAATTTGACTGCCTCACTTATTCACTTTTACACTTGTCCAGCTTCCGTTGCTGACGTCTGACGCTGTTGACAGTTGCACGTTCACTGATAACACACAGCATCTTTCACACACAGCTGAACTCGCTGGCAGTCGGCTTATGCGCCTAAATGCTGGCAATGCTTGGCACAACTTTTGTGGTAGCAACAGCCGTTTGCCGAATGACCGGTGAATATTTGAGTAGTGTCTCGCAGATTGCTCAGTCTTTTCCTTGTGTGTGTGTTTGTTTGGCGGTTGTTTGGTTCTCATGAGATGCAACGCGTGGTTATCGGCGACAGCAACAGCACGTATACGCAGCAGCCAGCATCACTTCGCTCGAGCCACGTTAGCTCTCGGCGGCACTTTCTCAGCTATGTTTAGTAAACACTCAAGCTTGTTGCTCTCGGCACTTTGAACGACTTTCGTATGCTATGCATGTAGGGAGCATATGCGAGTACTATGTGGAGCATGCGAGAGAAAGTTTGATACGGCTGCTGACGACAGAATCACGCCGCTCAGCCGCAAATTTTGTTTAGCAACATGTTGCTGATTTTAAATCACATTTTACATTGACTTATAACTTAGTGCACGTAGATATTTATAACTTTATATCCGCAGCTTTCATATGAAAGGGTATATTTACAGAGACACAAGTAAAAGTGTCTGATATGAGGAAAGGTGGTTGATACACAACTAAATTGATCGAAATATCTATTTCAAAGCTAAGCGAATGGGTAGTTAGATAATTTTTTTTAAATAGACGGTCGGCTTTATTACTGCCTTAATGGGGGCCTAAATGGGTACTAACGTCTTGCATAACTCCTTGGCTCTACACATGATATACATGGCGGAATCCTTCCTATTATTCACTTATATAAGCGACCTTCTAATGCACTTAGCAAGTTCCCGTTTCTACTCAATACCACGGATATTCGGTACCTTTTGGAAAATAGCCTCCAGTTATGATTGGAGTAGGATAGGAGTGAAATGGACAAAGGCACAGTAGATTAATTATTAATTTAAATACATATACGATTCCAAACTGCATAAACGAATGCGAGGAGGAGTCTTTTCTAAAAAAAATTACATATCAGAATCGGTCTCCGATTACTAAATCACAGCACCGTCTTCGAAGCTGATATCAGAGCAATTAAAGAAGGTGGCTTTGCAAAGAAAGTGTTTACGTCATATTAATATTCTACGATTAAAAAGGGATAGCTCATTTTAGGTATTTAAGTGGCAAAGCTGGTATTCGTATAGCTGAGCCTCGCTGGAAACAATACCTGCCTTGCGCAACAAGCAGGCAATCAAACAGTGAATTTTTGTTGATGTAATTTCCTCTCAATAATGGGTTGTTAGTTATCATCACTCCAATTGCGAAAATTTTGTTTATTAACGTATCCATTCAATCAAAAGTGAGTTCCATCAAAGAACAAAACTGACGCACCCTATACCTTTCGGACTTCAGACACCTGGGCTTGTGTAAAATAGTAATTTCTGCACTCGGTTTCAGGCCAAAATGCAACGCTGTCATTTTGAGTTCGCTTCACTCCATTAATTAACATAAAAATGCTCGTGAACATCATTGGCTATGTAAATATCCTAATGGCTGACACATTTCCTTTAAATGTAAATATTATGGCCAAAAGGCTGTGGAACGTTGTGCCAATTAACGTATTACATTTTGTTGCGTGATGCAGCCCTATATCAATAAATAAATTAAAGGTGCCATAAATACCGCGAGTGAAGACTTTTTGCTCCCAAACTGAGACTCAATGTGTTGATGAATGTGTGATGCGCGATTTATGGAGGCATTATTATTATTGTATAAGTGTTTCAAGTGATAAATCCTTCAGTTATAAACTCATTTATTTGACCAAAAACTTTGTTAAATAAATTAATAATAAAGAAGTAAGGAGGGGCTAAATTTGAGAGAAACCGAACCTTATATATAAAACTTTGCTGACCCCGCAGCCGTTGTCCTGCGTGAAATTCTGTGTTTTGAAATGAAGAAAAAATTAAAATTTATCATTTAATTTAATTTTTTTTTATGTAACGCAACATTTTTGGTTTCTGTTCCAATGTTCAAAAAATATGGTTTTCCAACTCGTGAGCACGTAAATCTGGCCGTGTGAAAAACATAGCATTTCCAAATTTATGGCACATACTATGAGACTATCCTTGTGTCCTGTTGATTGTCACCTTAAACGTAATGTTCACTGGAAACAGAATACGTTTGAACTGAAATGGCAAATAAAGAACATTAAAAAAAACAAAAAGAATTGGCAAAATTGGTCCCGGCGTTGTTGAGTTATGCGCTTCAAAAGCTGATATATTTTTTGCACAATTAACCGGAGAATCAATTAATACACGTTTAATTAAACAATTTGCTCAGTTACAGGAATTCAACTAAATTTGACAATCGAAACTAATGAAATACTAATTATTTAGTTTTTAGTAATAATATTTTAAACTTTACTTGAAAAAAATATAGAGAATAAAAACTAGACAATGCCCTGATATATTATATGTAACGATATTAGGAGGATGGAGTCATATGTAGAAGTTCACGTAAGTGAGGAAAGTTTTCTGATCGCCATTCACTTGGGAGTGGCCAGAAACGATTCTTTTACATATGACTCAAGCAGCTCACGACTTCCGGTCTTTGACCAAGTATCCTCTGGGTA